GAGACCCTTTTGTAGTGCCACTAGTGGATTATAGGACTAACATTTGCCTTATAGACAGACTAGGGTATATTAAACTTCGACTCTGCAATTTGAGGAACATAATAGGGCATGAGGGCAGGTTTTTTTAATGTTCCTGTGTTGAGAGTCACTGCATTAGAGGATAATAGTTTTAAATGAAGCCACATTTCTAACAAGGGACCAGATAACGAGGATAAGTGAAATCTGCAGACAGTCTAGAAGCTTCATTTTGGCCATTATTTATAATCTCTTCTCCTACAAAACCTTTTATTATATAGCGAAATTGATTAATTTGCATGTATCTCTGCTCTCCTTGCCCACATGCTCTCTGATACCAGAGTGAACAAATAGAGAAATGGACAAGAGAGGAAAGGGGATGGGGCCAAGGCCAGGTGGAGGTGGTGATGCATAGTCCCCAAACTGAATAATCAACCCCAGAATAATCGAGATATATTTTAGGGGCCTGGCATTAACCTTGATACTTAATCATTCTGGGTGATATTTTTAAAAAGGTTATATAATAGCATTAATAAAAATCATTTGCTATGGAATGGTTCAGAATAAATACGGCTTTCTTTTTAGCATGAAATACGGCTCTATTGAACTGGTCTTAATGTTCCCTCAGCACACACAGATACAGCTCTGTTTAATTCCATATCCTCTTATCTGTAAGTCCTACATTTAATTTACTACCATTCTAGTTGATTTATAGCTTTGGTTAGCAAAAGTACAGTCTATATTAAAAGGGTATTATCACAGCTGATGGACCTTGAAGGTATTTTTTTTCTCAGACCTAATAATTTTGAAAATGACTTATAGACTCTGGTGAGGCTAGATTTGCAAGCATCCATTTTTTGCCCACCTGGCTGTCCTTTGGGGAATGGTAATTAGAGGTGTTTTGGTGGCGTAGTTTTCCCTCTTTATCCATCCTGAGAAATGGAAAGTTACTGTGATAGAGTTTTAGAGCAAGTTTGCTTCAGGGAATCCCAATTCCCCAGTTAGCTGATCTCTTATCTAGCTGATAATTACAACTACAGCCTTTGTCTCTTGGGATGCTGCTGGGCTGAAGGATCCTCCAGTCTGTCTAAGGGAAGATTCAGTTATTATACATAAGGGTTATATTTTGGAGTTGCAGCTGTGACAGATGCCTCCCTCAAAAAATGCAGAATTAGTTTTGGTGCTCATTTCAGTAGAGATGACTTAATTTGCAAAGCCAGTGATTTCCACAGGTTGGCCAGATTCGGTCATTCTCCACAGCAGGCCATTTTCCACTCTCCTGATTTGATTGCGCAGTATGACTATTTGGTGGCATCTGTGGTTCTAGGAGTAAGGAAAATGCTGTTGCTCAACAGGTGACAAAAAGCTATTATGCTTTGATTCTGTTTAGAGCATTATTACTATTGTCTTGATTCCACTGAAAAAATGAGTCACTCTGGTTTGGGCTTTATATCTTTGCAAAATATGATTTTGACCTATGATGTAAGTTATTTCTCACAGAGGATTCACTTTAAAATCACCATACTTACAGTTCAATTTACAGGAGCTTTCAGTTGTTCAAAATCATAGGAACACAGAAGAGAATGTAAAATTGTAAATGTGGCACTAACTCAAAATGGGAGAACTTTGATATTTTTTTCATATCAAATTTTATGTTGGGCCTTCTCAAAATACAAAAGTAAACCAATTTTATTTGTGAATAAATCAGGTTTTATTTTGGTCAACATGTCTTTCCAGTTTGGTCTTATTGAGGTTATTCATGTACCATATAATTGGTGTTAAACCTTTTTTAATTGTTAACTTACTTGGTTTTAAAATCTCTGAAATTTTTGTTGAAGAGCACAGAATGTACTCCTATGAAGGAAGGATTTATGCTTCTAAATCACCTTCAATTTACCTAAATTGCTTTTCTTTTTCAATACATGGCTACAGTTTGTCAGAGAATAAAAAATCACTGGGGAGTTTTCTTTTTTCAAACTATACTTGCTGAAACATGAAACCTCCTGAAATTCTGATAAACTTTGACTGCTTCCGCCCCCCCAGCTATTCCCACCCTATACCAGTTAAACATCACTGACTTAGTCTAATACTCTCAGCCCATAGGTAGGAAAACAGTCTTCCACTTTTTTTTTTTTTTTTACAAAGATCTATTTTTTAAAA